GGAAACTCATGCATGCGTGCACGCCCGTGCCAGTCAGCACGCCCTAGGCCGTGCACTCTTCTGCCTCTCACGAAGGACACTCATGCATGCGCGCACGCCCGTGCGCCTTGACACGCCCTGGACCGTGCAACTGTCTGCCTCTCATTAAACTAATTAGCTTATTTTGTGTTTTTGCAATGCTAATGGGTTGGGCCTCCAATATTTCGGCCACCTTTGAATAATTAGCCTTATTTTGATTAGATTTAGTCAATTTTAAAGTCAAATCTTTTAGTGGCATTTTGGATTAGATCCCTCCAAGATCCTTAAGTTTTATGATTTATTAGTCTTATCCTTAGTTGGTTTAGATTTGCTAAATCCTACTCCTTTAGCTAACTCTAATCGCTTGAAGGATCTGGACCTCTTTAGATTAGTATAAATAGCTGTTTATTTTGTAATTATAATCAAATTTAATTCAATGAATCAAAGACTACTTCTTCTGCTTAGGCGGTGTTCATGTTTTTAGAGAGCTGTGAGATGCATTCCTTCTAATTGCATCAAGAATCAAGGTAACTTATAATTCTTTGTGGCGTTTATCTTATTCTTTTCTCTATATTGGTGTTTCTTGCTTCTTTAAGCTTTGGGTGCCAGAGAGGGGTTTAGTTGATCTTGGATCTAGGAGAACAAGCAAAGCTTGAACAAATGAAGTTTATCAATGTCAAAAGTTCTATCCTTACATGGAAGACAAGTTATTTATACTAAATAAGGAAACTAGGTTTAACAAAGCATAAAACACACAAAACACGCCCAAGTCACTCCAAGCCTTCAAGTCGATGTCACTGTAGCAAGTCAAGCTAATTGGCACGGGCATTGTAGCAGGCGTGCTCTCCTCCACTGTAGCAGGCGTGCCTTCCTCCACTGTAGCAATCCAAACAAATTTACTGGAGTGCTTCAACTTCACATGCCACCAACAACATTAGAAGGCCTAGGAATGCCTTCAAGTTCCTCACAACACTTGTTGAATGCGACATCATGAAGTTCTTGTGTTATTTGGGCTTGAACAAATAATGATATGGCTAATGGCTGCCCCATATCGTTGGCACGGGCTCTTGTAAATTCGGTTCCAATAGGAAGCACCAATGGATCTCCTTCTCCTTCGTCGTTCACCATGCCTCCTCGCGATCCAGCGACGAGTGATGATGGATCCGTATCAGTTGAGTGGTAGCAAATCCGTATCAGTGTTGCCAAAAATATTTTGAGTCAAAATCTTTTCTTTTAAGGTAAATGAATAAAAGAAAGATTTTGGACTTTCCTTAAAAATAGTTTTCGAAAATAAAATATAAAAATCTTTTTCAAAATATTTTGTTACCAAAAATGATTAAGATAAAATCTCTTTCATTTAGGTAATAGGATAAAAGAAAGATCTTTATAAAGATAGTTTCCGAAAATGAAAAGTATAAAAATCTTTTTCAAAAATTTTGTTACCAAAAATGGTTAAGACAAATTCTCTTTCATTTAGGTAAGCTAATAAAAGAACGAGTTTTTTTACTTTCAAGGAAACTTTCGAAAATTATTTTTGAAAAAGAGAGAAGAAATATTTTTGTACTTATAAATGAATATTCTCTCTATCCTACAACAAATCTTAATATACAAATCTTAATATACTAACCACTAAAATCTTCAATGGTCTTCATGATCTTTAGTTAATCTTAGATTTATAGGAATTTGCCTTGTTTATTATTATTTTCTATATAAAAAAATAATTCTGCATAAAATAATATTAACACAAATAAAATAATTAAATTTATTTGTTTTCCTTAATTATCAAAATCTTAAGATAAAATTGACCCTTGAGCCAACAATCTCCCGCTTTTTGATGATGACAAAACCAATAAATTTATCAAACATAAAATTATGTGCTCCCCCTAAATATATGATTATAAGTTCTAAACATAACATATTTTATCATGAAGCAAAATTAGAACTTATATAAAGCTCCCCTTGAATAAGTGCAGCAAAATATGTATAAGGATTAGAACAGAAAATGGTTTTAGAAACTGATATTAGAACATATATTTAGAATTAAAAAATATTGAGTTCCAAAGTCTAATAATTAGAGCATATGATCAGAGCAAAAAGAAATAGAAACTGACATTAAAGAAATAGAAACTGACATTAGAATTAAAAACTAAGTCCAAAGTCTAACCTGCAGAGCATACGTTAGAATAGAGAACTAAGTTCTAAAATCTAACTTATGAGATCATCATATAAAACATATAGCCCATATTCTATTTTCTGTTTATATGGAAACAAAATAACACAGATTAGAACAAGATAAGCATATAGAGATTAGTACTAAAAATGTAACATAACATACCCCTTCAGGTACTTAATCACCAAAATATCCTGTGTTCTTGTAACACCCACCGTCCAGCTCCAAGAGACCCGACGGCGGATGCCACATTCGGTGTCGGAGACACCACCGCTAGACATAACATATAAATCATAAAATCAGATTATGAATTAGAAGTGGATTAAGTATTTACAAGTTTAGCAAGTATTTTTTTATTTGTTATTCAAATATATATATTTAACTATGAACAATTTAGGAAAAATCTACAGCAAAACTGCAAGAGTTTTCCTTTAAAAATCGAAGCTCACAGCCATTAAAACATGTGAATACAAAACACTCCCATTTTATAACTCTAAACCCCAGCAAAAACTCCGAATCCATCCATCAGGAACACAACAACACTTCTGATATATCATAAACTAAGAAGAAACCCTCAAATAGCATTTTAATGATTCATCAATTAAATGCATTCAATTATATATATAATACATTATACAGTCCTTAGCTTCTTAATCATAACCAACTTCTTTAAACATATTTTATTTCCAAACATTTAAATAAAAGCTCATGCTATCTCAATATATACACCAAAACTAATTTTATCAATTACATGCTTTAGTATAATTCAAATAACAATAATCTCCGAAAAATTAATAATCATACATGCCATGATTTCTTGTAATTACATCAAACTAATTCTACCACTACTAAAATAGTCTCTTCTATTCTGAAGCTACTCTTCTGGTCTTCAAGTAGCAACCACGGTCTTCAACCTGCGCTTGATAAAAATCAACGCGTTAAGTATAAAACTCAATGGTGCTCAAAAATGATAAACTTATCAATGTTGTGATGGCAACACACTTAAAACATAAACTTTCATCAAAAGATTTACAATCATAAAAATCATTAATGCTTCAACATAGATTTACATTTATCAAATAAACTTATAATTAATAACATAAATAATTTAATTCTTCCAAATCATAAATTCGTTACTTGGACATTTATTATACCAATACACATACTATTTAGATAAACAAACAAAAAAATAAACAATTAAAACAGAATTCAAATAACAAAAACTACAAAAGACATAAAAGAACTGGAAACAGTAAACAAAAAAATAAGTTCACAAAACATAGTTAGAGCAGATTAGAAAGGGAGTCAGAGGGGGAATGGAATAGTTTAAGTCTCTTAGAACTTCTGAGGTTTCTGTGCAGGAGAAGTTTCCAGCAGGACTCTTAGGATGTTTACGAGAGGTTCTGTGCAGGAGAAGTTTCAGCAGGACTCTTAGGATGTTTAGAGAGGGATACAGAGGAGGCTTCCTTCCATGAACTCTATGCTTTCCCGCAGTGTGCTTCACTTTCTTAGTAGGCTTTTCTGAGGTAGGAGTGTAGGGTGTGCTCTTTACCCTTAGAGTAGCTAGCCTTCTCTCATTAACATTTTTCATCCTTTCTAAAGACTCAATGAGGGGACTGGTTGTGTGCAATCACAGCCTTACTCTATTTGATAGCCTCATCAAGCTCCTTATTATGCTCTTCAATGAGTTCTTTTTCCAATTCACCCAGCATAGCCTCTCTACTCCTTTGTGTTGTCAGAAACTCTGATTCCTTTCTAGCCTCAATCTTAGTCTCTTTTTTTTCTTCACTTAATTCCAGCTTTTCTGTATCAACATCACTGGCTTCCTCAACCTTAGTCTCTTTTTCTAAGTAGAACGATCGGCAACAGCTTCTTTGTCCAAAACCTATTTATGTCGATGCTGGCTTGCCTGGAAAAGAGAGGAACGGTGGAGGTGAGGTGCTGGCAATGGGATGAGAGGTGGTATGGCTGCCTCTTGACTGTTTTTCGCCAAAAACAAAGGAGAGTCGAAGGTAGAATTATCTGATCGGAAACAAGATCGCAGCTCCCTACGATTGCTGCACTCGCCGGAAACAGAAGAGAGAGAGAGAGAGAGAGAGAGAGAGAGAGAAAGAGAAAGACCGGGGCTTCGTTGTCGACGAGAGAGAAGCTAGAGTTGACTGCTCGTATTGGAGTCGCCGGAGAAGAGAGAAATGCTACTGCGTCGATCGGAAAGAAAGAATCACAGCAACTCTCCCTCTTGATTGCAACGCCAACACAAGCAGAAGCTAAAAGGGATGGTGACAGGAGAGACAAGGGCGGCGTGAAGGAGGTCTGGTCGGTCGAGGTTGGTCTTAGGCGAACGAAAAATGAAAAGGGAAGGGGGAAACGAAGTTGTCGCTCAAAAAATGGGGAGAGAAGAGAGAAGAATAGGGCAAAATGGGATTTCCCATATTCTAGAGCTTTCCATTTCGTTCTAGATCGGTTTGGATTCGATTAAGGTCTAGTTTGGCCCAAATCATGGATTTTGATTGGTTTTATCTTGATTTGTTGGTTTTGCAAATGGGTTTAGTTTAGCTTTTGGAGTTTGATTTAGTAATATAAAATATATTTGCAATAAATTTTATTCAATAAATTCAGAAGGTACTAATTTATTTATTTTAAATAAAATGATGCTCTACAATATCATTTGTTTAAAATTGATATTTAAATTTTTGAAAGAGAAATTTTTGAAAATAAAATTCTGGTTGTTTCATTATAGATAAGGCTTTTAATTAATTTTCTGTTTTTGAAAAATACAAGGAAAAAAAAAAAACACAAAACCAACCCATTTACATTGCTTATGTCTTGGCGAACCTTCCTAACAATTCCTTTTCAAAAGCGGTGCAACCTGAATTTGCACCACGTGTCTCTGAATCTTTTCAATTAAAAAGCGACTACTGCTAGCACTTTGTAGTGATTTCTGTTTCTCTGTCTTCAACTTATTATTATTCCCTTTTCCAGTTTATCTGCAGTTCTTATCAAATAGTAAAAGATGGTGATCACAACAACCATTGTCGACTCCGATGAGCTTTTGCACTCCACCTTCGCTTCCAGATACGTGCGCGCTCCTGTTCCCAGGTTCGTTTATTCTCTACTTACCTTTTTTTTTTTTTTTTTTTTTTTTTTTTTTTTTCTTTTTTTTTTTTTTATAATGTGCTAATCAGGGGGACAGAACAGATAGAGAAAAACAGTGAATCAGTAGTTGGCTTATTTCTTTTTTTATTTTTAATGAAAAGTAGCCAAATCACGAACATCTGTGTTACTAATATTAAAATTGTAATGAGGGAGCATTTTTTTTTCAGAAAAAATAACAGTAACTGGTTAAACTGGGTATACACAGGAATGAGAATACATTTGTATGGGTGCAGGTTTAATGGATTTTTTTTTTTTTCTTTTTTTTTTTTATAATTGCTAATCAGGGGGACAGAACAGATAGAGAAAAACAGTGATCAGAGTTGGCTATTTCTTTTTATTTTTTAATGAAAATAGCAAATCACTGAAACATCTTGTACTACAATTAAAATTGTAATGAGGGGACATTTTTTTTCAGAAAAAAATAACAGTTAACTGTTAACTGGGTATACCAGGAATGAGATACATGTATGGGTGCAGGTTTAAGATAGCAGAGAAATCAATGCCGAAGGAAGCAGCATATCAAGTGATAAATGATGAGCTAATGTTGGATGGAAATCCAAGGCTAAATTTGGCTTCCTTTGTGACGACATGGATGGAGCCTGAGTGTAATGATCTGATCATGGCTTCCATTAACAAAAATTATGTTGACATGGATGAGTATCCTGTTACCACCGAGCTCCAGGTTTTCATTCTCTCTCTCTCTCTCTCTCTTTTATTGCATAACTGGATAAGAGTTTTGTTCTATTTTAGCAATTTGATAGTGTTTGGAATAAGTTCATATGAAATTCATTTGGATAAGTAGTCATTTAAAACAATCGAGTCGAATCGAACCAATGCAAATCGGTTTTTTGAGATAATTTTTTTATTTTTGTTTTGGGGACTCAATGAAATTCAAACCAAATTGAAAGAAATTTTAGTTTGTTTCCACTGGACCTGAATAAAATATGTTGTCTACCCTAACTGAGCATTCGAGATTTGTGATATCAAATTTTTCCCTTAAAAAATTTATATATGATGTGAAATTTTAAAATACTCAGTAATTTGAAGTGAACAATTTTCATGTTTGGATTGAAGAGTTTAAGCGTTTGGCATTACTGGCTTTTGCTTAAAAGTCATTAGTTTAGAGTTGATTTGAAAATCCTATTAATTTAATAGAATTTAATTGAAGTATAATTTATTCTATAGAATTAAAAATGTGGAATTCTAGAAGCTTATTTGGTATACATGAATTTCGTAAAATTTTATGGAATTTGTTGATAAATCTATATTTTCATATCAGTAATAAACCAAAAATTATTTGAAATTTTACATTTTCAATTCCATGGTTTTGATTATGCTTAAACCAAATTATATCAAAATTAATATAATTTGTGAAACTTAAAAGAGAAACAAGTTAATAAAGTTAAGGAATTTCAGAATTATAATGAGAGTAATTTTTATAATGAAATCTATCATTGGTCTGAACATGGAACTCGTTTATAAATGAATCTTTTTAATAAAATTCATTTGCAAACGACATAAATTTGACATATGGATTTATTTCAAAATATATGTAAATGAACTTTATTTTTACTAAATGCTAAAATATAGAGTTGTAAATGAATTCAATAAAATTTTATGAAATTTATTTATAGTGATTAAATTGATTTTCTACAGTTACGGAATATTTTAGGAAGTGTGTACTTGCTAGAAGCTTATGGGAAAGTGATATAGGAATATAAGATCTTGGTGTTTGTTTTATACAAAACTATTGCATTCCTGGAAAAATTGGATTCTTGAATATGTAGGATTAGGTGGATCATATGTCCGTAACATAAACATGACAATTTAACCCGATCCATTGGGTACCAGGTCATCCAATTATGGTAGTTTCGAATAGTAAATAATTGAGTTTGGGATAAGTTTAGACAATATTTTTACTATCCAATTCAAGTACTTCTTAACTTGTACCCATTACTTATTTAACTAATATTCTAAAATATTTAAAATGATTATTTTTCTCAAAAAAATATTACTTATTTACCTTTCTAATTAAAATTAGTACTATAGTTATATATACTTAATATTGATATTATAAAATTTTTATTTCAAAATAAAATTTTTAACATTCTTACTTATTTTTTATTTAAAAAAAATAAAAAAATATTTCAATGTTAAACAAGTATTAAATGAGTATTTATAATCAGGTTTGAGACGGGTTTGTGTAATACAAGTAAATTTTTAAATGGATTCGGATACCTAGTTTGTACCTGTTGCCAACCTACCCTCACCTCCAAGGTTCTCCAAAATCTCATCTTTTCCTATATTATAAATTTATGCATATTTTTAAAATAAATACTGAATTGCCCCCTAAACCCTCCAAAAGAAAAGACATTATAAATATTTATTTTAATCCATAGATGACTTAAAAGTCATATGTAAATATTTCATCCATAAATTTATATTCTTATTCTTTTTTTTTGTTTTCTTTCCTATTTTTGGTTCCCAATCCCTGAAGTCTAGTTTTGCTACTACCTTACCTTGAGTTTCCTATATACTTGGGAAACTGGTATTAAAAGATTGGAAAAGTTGCATTCCCATAGGAATCGAAGCTTGGAGAAGAATGTGAGGACATTAATATCCAAAATTGTGGTTGCAGAATCGGTGTGTGAATATGATAGCTCACTTGTTTCATGCTCCAGCTGGGGAGGATGAAACTGCAGTTGGAGTGGGGACTGTGGGATCATCAGAGGCAATCATGCTGTCTGGATTAGCATTTAAAAGAAAGTGGCAGAACAAGAGAAAAGCACAAGGCAAGCCATACGATAAGCCCAACATAGTGACTGGAGCTAACGTGCAGGTCAGTTGTAAATTTTATTTGGCTCTGTTATCCTCTTATTCATTTTTATTGTAGAAAATAAAATATTCAACAAAGTTATGGCATCGATCCTCATTAGTGAGAGCATATATTGACAACAAGAGCATACATGCATATAGTTTAAGTTGTCCATAACGTGCCAGAACAATTAGTACCTCCTCCATTCAACCTCAACTTTATTCAAAATACTTACTGCTTTGGCAGTTGCAAGTTGGGGTTTTAAGTGAGAGGCGCGTGGCACTTTTAGTCCTTGATAAACTCAATGCCCCCATCTTTTCACTTGTTATTTTATTCTAGTAATAATTTAGTTTCAGATCATAATGGACATTTGAAATGGCAGTTCATAGAAAAATGCATTTACTGCATTGATAAATTATGCTGCATAGGTCTGCTGGGAGAAATTTGCAAGGTACTTTGAAGTTGAACTAAAGGAGGTGAAGCTGACTGAAGGCAATTATGTGATGGACCCCGTGAAAGCTGTTGAGATGGTGGATGAGAATACAATTTGCGTTGCAGCCATTTTGGGATCAACACTTACTGGGGAGTTCGAAGATGTGAAGCTTCTTAATGAACTTCTGATCAAAAAGAATGAGGAGACTGGTTGGGACACCCCCATTCACGTGGATGCAGCCAGTGGAGGGTTTATTGCTCCATTCCTTTACCCAGATCTTGAATGGGATTTTCGTCTGCCATTGGTGAAGAGCATTAATGTCAGCGGTCACAAGTATGGCCTCGTTTATGCTGGTGTTGGTTGGGCTGTTTGGAGGACTAAGGAAGACTTGCCAGAGGAGCTTATCTTTCACATTAACTACCTTGGCTCTGATCAACCCACTTTCACACTCAACTTCTCAAAAGGTAAGTACTAAAGATGAAAAATAAAAAATAAAATAAAAAAAGAATTGGTGAAATTAGATGTTGGTTTGCCACAAATAATATCTTTTTTTTTTTTTTCATGTGAAAAACCTCTTTATGAAACTTTTGTGATTTATCTTTCCAATTTTGTGGTACTAGCAAGAAACGCTTCCTACAAATTAATAGAAAGAGGGAAAAAGAAAAAGAAAGAAAAGCTTGCTCACTACAAAGACTTATTCATACATGGCCAACCAATAGAAATATTAAGGCTTTGGTCTAGCCTGATTAATTAATAAAATATTATCTTTTATTGTACTGGGATGGGCTTAGTAGGAGAAATTGGTATGAACATATGACGGTGACCTAAAATATTTTGAGATGATACAACTCCAATTTGGGATGGGTTTAGTAGCATTTTGGCAGAGTGTCTTATGGGATTAACTTCTAGGTAGGATTTCACTTAGATGTTTCATTGACAATGGATAAGTTCATTTTCCCCTGATCTCTTTTTTATTTTACCTTTGCTGTCATTCAGAAAGAGTATATAAATTTTTACCTATTTGTTCCTTTGTTTTTTCAATTACATTCTCATTTTCCATCCCTTATTTTGGCAGGCTCTAGTCAAATAATTGCACAATATTATCAGTTTATAAGGCTTGGCTTTGAGGTAAATTTCAAAATTACACTTTAAGCTTTAGTTTGAGTAGCTTTTGTAGCTTATACTCTTTTTAAGTTTATTGTTCATTTGTAGTTCTATCAATTTTCAAAAGAATTTCATCCAAGTATACTTAATTCCATAGAATTAAAATGTGAAATTCCCAATGAATTTTTCATGTATATCAAACATAAAAATGTATATTTGTATATGAATTTCAAAAAACTTTCTAGAATTGCTTTATATCAAACAAACTATTAATGTTGGGTGATGGAGGAAGAAGTTAATGAAGGTAAAGGAAGGAGAAGGGGATAAAACGTAAAGAAAACTTACTTAACTTTATGTTGTTTGAGAGTTTTGAAAAAAATAAAAGGTTAATATGTGGAAAATCATTTAGACCTGTTTAATACTTGGTAATGGAATGTCAAACATAATATTAGAGTATTTACGTTTTATCCTTTAGTGAGAAAGATTATTTAGAAGATGAAACTCTTTTAACTCCATTATGTGTGTGTGCGCGCGCGCGTGTGCGAATACAGATATATGGTATAGGAAATGTTTGCTTATTATGTAATGGAGTTATGATTTACAATTTAGGTTGCTTTATCTTATCTTTTTTTTTTCCCTAATATTATGTTGGTCCTTTACAAGGGTTATAAGAAAATCATTGAGAACTGCATGGAGAACACAATGTTGCTAAAAAAAGGAATAGAGAAAACCGACCGATTTGATATTGTCTCCAAGGATATTGGAGTGCCCTTAGTGGCCTTCTCTCTGAAAGATAGTAGCAAATACACCGTGTTTGAGGTTTCTGAGAATTTGAGAAGGTTTGGCTGGATAATTCCAGCCTATACAATGCCTGCAGATGCTGAGCACATTGCTGTACTTCGGGTGGTGGTCCGGGAGGATTTGAGCCGCAGCTTGGCAGAAAGACTTGTATCTCACATTGGACAAGTTCTGAAGGAAATGGACTTACTTCCTGTGCATATTTCCAGCCAAACTGCCATTGTTAATAAGACATTGCAGGACAGTGAAGGGAAGAAAATAGTTAAAAAGAGTGAGAGGGAGATGCAAGAAGAAGTCACCCAGTATTGGAAAAAGCTTGTAGAAGGCAAGAGAGTTGGAGTGTGCTGAGCATCTAGAGATTGACAGGTCTGTTTGAAATATTAAGTCACTTCAGCTTGATTGTATAATGTTAATGTTGTGTACTTATGGTGAGGCTTTTTATAGAATCTGCTCTACCTGTCCAACAATACGCGCTTGTAATGTTGTATGTAGTGTTGTAATGTTGTGTGCTTCTGGTGAGGATTGTGTATCTGTAGTCTTTTGACATGCTAGTCCTCCACTCTTAACGCTTTAAATTTTTTAAAAATTTCTATGAAAGTAAAATATGAATTTGTATTTTTATTTTCATTTTTTTTTTTTTTTAACCTCAAGATGTAGCTTATATGTGGGGGAATATCATCCTGAAACCAAAAGCTAGTATTCAAAGGAAATTGCAGCAGTGAAAACACTTTCTGCACCTCTCATAACTGCACCAAAAGAGACATAATCAAGGTCAGATGAGGAGAAGCATCAATATTCACTTTAATGGATCCTGGCGGAGAGGGGGCACCAATCCAAAGCTTTCCTAACAGAAGATAACAAGTCAGAAAGTACCTTACTCAATTCAGCAGTTTTCCATGTTCTCAATAAGCTAGCAGCACTAGTAACTATGTGATAAGGTGGAGTTCGTGTTTAGTTCCATCAATTGGAAATCCTCCCTACCTCAACTGAGTTACCAGAAACGAAGCCAAACAAAAAAGTCTGCATAGCCATGGCTTGAAATATGATAACCACAATACCTCAAACTGCTTGGGCATGAAAACACTCAATTAAAGCATGCAGAGTTCTTTCAGCTTCTCCACAGAAATCACAAACAACATCCAATTGTATACCACGACCCTCCAAGACACTGTTACTGAGAATTTGTAGGCTTATAAGACACTTAGGAACAGATAAATGTCTAAGCCAGCATTAATACATGTCACATATACATACATACAAACATTAACTGAAAACAGGTGCTCATAGAATTTTTCACATACTCTTACATAAGACTTAGCCAATATACATTCCAAAGTAACTGCTCATTTAGTAGTCTAATACCCAAATACAGAAACATATATCCAAAAGGAGTGTAACTTTGGTCTGGATGCAAATCACTGGCCAACTTCTAGTAGCACTGCTATCCTTCTCTACCTCCATGCCATAAAAAACGCGCTAAGCAAAAATACTTAGGGTGCTCAATAACCTCACAGAACAAATATCTAAAAATGATTATTTTTTTTATAAATAGTCTAATATGATTACAAGGCATTAAGAATAAACATAAAGATATCAAAGTGCAAAGCTATTTATTTGGATTTTCGTACTTATATGACTAATTTTATAAGATATATTATATAGTTATCAGAAATTACTTTTGATTTATAATATACGTAAATTTTATGAAAGGTTATTTTTAGATGTTTCAAATAAAAGTGTTTTAATAAGTTTTACAATTTTGTTACTTTCAATACTTGAAAGCAGTTTTCTGAGTATTAAATTAAATATTAATTTATCATATATGTGAAATGACTTAAAGTCTTGATTGATTAGGTGTTTAAAAAAATGGTTAAGTATAACGAGTTTTAACATAGTCTAATATTTTTTTAATTATTGAATACAAAATAAATATAGTAATTAGGTGTTTTTATTTTACTGTAAATATTATAATATGTATGTAGACAAAATGAATGAATATTATAAAAAAAATCAAAATAGAATGAAAAATAAAAGTTTATGATTGAAATGATATTTAAAGTAAAAATAATCATAACTCAAGCAAAATAATATCTTTAAGATTAAAAAAGTAAAATGATAAGAAAAAGAAGTCTTTGACATAAAATACCTGTAGCCAAAGAAAAATAAAATTGTTATGGTTTTTTTTTCTATAAGTATATTTTAATAAGATTTCTAATTGAGTTATATTATTATTCATTAAGTATTCATAATTAAAATATTACTCATATGTCTTATGTTTAACTATTGGAAGTACAATAATAAATTTAAATAATAAGTATCAATTTTTTAATTCTTTTAATTGAATTATTTTTATTATTTTTTTAGATTTGTATATTATAAGAGTTAGCTAACATAGCTAAGTTAATCATATATCAATTTATTATTTATTATTGAATCATTTTATTATTTTATTAATAGTTTTATGTGAACTATTTTAAAATTTTGTTAAGTTAAATTAGTATAAAATAAATTTATATAATTTCATGTCAATTGAGTTAAAATATTTTTGACATATGCTTCGTGTTTCTTAACTAGATGTTTAACTTTATTTGATAACTAGTTTTTATTTTAGGGTTAGGATAAAAAAAATTTTTGATTTTCTATTTTTATATTTCCTAGTTTAATATGTTTAATTGAATAGTATTAACCAATCTAATTAAAAATTAGTATTATATAATTTTAATCAACCAATAAAATTAAAAGTTTTTCAATTAGGAAGAAACTAAATTATCATTAATAATATTGTTAATCAATCAATAACATTCAAATAAAATTTGAAATTCCTATACATGCAAAAAAATTATGATTTATGTTATAAAATAACATAAAACTATGGAGAGTAGAGAGAAGGAATAGAGAGTAAAATATGAGAATAATCTTTATTGATGAGAAGCCACACATATATATATATGCACATGAATGGTACATAATTAGGATAATAAACTACTACATTAAATAGACTTGTAGACTAATAACGAATATAGACTTCTAGCCTACACGAGACATCCACTAATTTCATAACACCCTTAGATGTCCATTCTTAAAAGAACATGTCTCGTTAAAATCTTACTAAGAAAAAATTCTGTGAAAAAAAAAAATCTTAGTGAAAGAAAACGAGTACATTATTCTTTTATTAAATAGGCGATGAAATACCGTCTCATTAAAAATCTTTCTCAAAAAAATACAGTGGGAAAAAACCTTGATTAAAAGGAAAAAGAGTATAATGCGTGCTTACTTCATTCATGAAGAGAAATCTTGAGATCTTTGAGTTTATACACTCCAATTTTGTTTATCAATTCTTCAAAACATGTGATAAAAAGCTTGTAATAAAAAACTTATAGTGAAAAGTATTTTGATGAGCAAATCAACAATATTGTTGTTTGAGTGGTTGAATTTTAATATTACCATTCTTTTTGGAGACCATGAGTGAAGAAAATCTCATTTCTTGTCTCCTCTAGCATATTTTTTTCTTTAAGAGAAATGTGTATATGAAGTATTATCTTCTTATAATATTGTAGAAAATTCATTTCTGTACAAGTAGACTCCACGTACTTTGAACATGTTGAAACACTTATCTCGATTAAATGCATTCTCGTCTTTCTTCATGTATTGCTAAGATTTCCATGCTTAAAAGAAGTATTTAGCAATACTCTGTCTCGGACCATTTTCACAATCTCATGGTGATCCATTTCATCCCAATTACATCCAGAAATAAGGCACAACATTATCACATCACAAGTAATCAAATCAACTCATACAATATAATAAATCACATAGCAGATCATACATACGCACGAGCATATGTTATTATAATTTTAAGGTGGATTAGTAATGTAACTAAATATATCTTAATAATATGGTATTAAATGAGTAAAAGCTGGATATCATTTGTATATATATTCATAAAATATGAAATGGGTGATGCATGTATGTAAATGATAGTATGCATCATTTATTATACTCATAGTGATAACAAATAGAGCAAACTTTAGCTTGAATTTTGATTAGCAGGAGCGGTAGATGAACACGGACGATCTAGATAAAACACAAATATAAAGAAAATACTGCATTAAATAAATGACTTTCCTTAAATAAGAATTTAAATAATTAATTTAACATATATTTGCTAAATATTTACATGCTATAACTAATCTAAATCTTATGAATTCTTCTAACAACATTTTCCCTGTAATAGCACTTTCCACTTGTTCGAATATTAACTATTTAATATACTTACTGATTATTGCAAATACAGCTCATTTATAAAGTAATCAATCAATTCAAGTATCCAAACACTACAAATAGCAATTTATATTCAACTCTTAGCTCATTAATTAAAAATAGATCTTCAATTTGATTTCGGTATATCCTGATATATCATCCTAATATCCTATTTTACCATCACCTTAATTCATATGATATAACCTTAATCTCAAAATAATTGCTACCTCTCTCCATTAATAAATTTCTTTTTTTCCTTAAATTATTTTCAAAAAATAACTTGTTAAGTATTTAATTTATTTCCTCTTTCAGTTTATCACTCAAATGTATACTAACTAATTCAGGATTTATAAAACTATTCCTTCATTTTGACATATGATTATTAACCCAGATTTATCCAAAGACAATGACATACTATAATATTGACAATATTTACATATATTCGATAAAATAACTTTAGCTCCACAATAAATATTGCCTATTAAAATAATAGATCCTACTCTATTTCATATTTTCATATCATGTCTCAAGCAATTCCTTATAAGAGATCACTTAAATTATGTTCTATCCTTAACTTTCCATCCAAACTAAATTATGAGGTTACATTCTTTTATAGTTTAATGTACAATATATATCAAAAGGGGGGGGTGTATACTAACTAATTCAGGATTATAAAACTATTTCCTTCAATTTTGACATATGATTATTAACTGCCAGATTTATCCAAAGACAATGACATAGCTATAATATGACAATAATTTACATATATTCGATAAAATAACTTTGCTCCCAATAAATTTATTGCCTATTAACACATAATAGATCCTACTCTATTCAATTATTTTTCAATGAATCATGTCTCAAGCAATTCTTATAAGAGATCACTTAATATTTATGTTTTATCCTTAACTTTCCATCCAGAATAAATTATGAAGGTTACATTCTTTTATAGTTTAATGTACAATAAATAATATAATATATAGTATATTAATAGTCCGGGCTACATATATATATATATATATATATATAGTCCGGGCTACCATAAACCTATAGTGTAATTCCCATCAATATTACTATCAAAATTCTTCAATTAAATTTATTTAACAGTAAAATTTACCTTAATTTATTAAAGCTTTCTAATCAAATTAATACTCACAAACAATTTATTCAAATTTATTAAAACCCTTTAATTATAATTTATATTTTTAAACCATATTGGGGAAATACCCAAAAATGTAGTACTGTTAGGGTGGCTTGGCCGGAGCCGACAAGAGTGGCGGCTGTGTTCGCCGGAACAAAGAGAAAGAAGGCTCAGAGCCCTTGGAGTTGCCTGACCACGCCAAAGTCACCGGAAAATCGAAAAGAGCAGCGACAAGAGGACCGATACGCAGCTGTCTCGTTCGCAACTCACACAGCCCAACTATTTCCTTTGCTGCGCTAAACAAGACTCAAACAAGGCACGAGGAGGATCGAGGCCAAGTCGCCGGCGAGCAAGGGCTTGAGGTCCGCCGGAGAGAGAGCAAGGATGCAGAGGCCGCGACTTGAGTGGCGGTTGGTGGTTGAGATCGCGAGGAATAGCAATCGAAAGCTGCTGCTTGTTGCGTTTACTGGAAATAGAGACAGGGAGGGAGAGCGGTGATGCGACGGCTGGCTGTGACGATCGGAGAGAGAGAGAGAGAGGTTGAGCGTCGCTGAAAGAAAGAAAATAAATAAAAAAAAAAAGAAAAAGAATGGAAGGAAGATTCTAGGGTTTATAGGTAATCTGGTTCGATTTGAATCGATTTGGTCGAACTCAGAGGTTTAGTTTTCATCTGATTTACAGATTTTTCATCCGGTTTGAAGATTTTCAACTGATTTATGGGTCTGATTTAATAATAATACAATATTTTATTTTAAATTTTGTTGTATAATTTCATTGGTTGCAATTAAAAATTAATTTTTAAATGGAAAATCTTATGATTTTTTTTTCAGGGTTATTTCATTGGTGGTAAATGGTGAGTGGTGGTACTGATTACCAATAATTAATAAATTAAAAAATATAGATTTATAAGTTTATAATATGTTTGTCAAAAATATTTTACGCTCTTAAAAATGAAAATTTATTTCCCTTGAAAATAACTTAATTTTTATTTGAAAATGACTTAATTTTTCCTTAAACAGGAAAATATTTTTCTTTGACTTATTTTCCTTAACACCTTAAACAATAAAAACTTGTGAAAAATATTTTTTTGTAAATTATTTTAAACCAGCGTGTTAATTATTATTTACAGGAGATAAGATTAAAAATCATGAACATTCAATCGGTTTAATTTAAATGAAAAATCTCAACAGATGCAAATGGAATATATTAAAACTTTCTAGATGTAACTGAAAATAAACTAAAAATTGAATAATTGAATAATATATAAAATCATATCTAACTGAATTTGTTTGATTCAATATGGTTTAGTTTCTAATTATTTCTATGAAATTTGAGCTTATTTCCTGGATTTAATAGAAATCGGAAATACAAAATTTTGATTTTTCAAAACAGAAATAAAACTAAATATGAAAAATATCAAACCGAACAGCTTCATAAATTAAAAAAAAAAAACAAAACAAAACAAAACGCGTGTTCATAGATGAGAAACGACAAGGGAGTTGTGTGAATGATGAGTGCAGACACAACTATCACAATTGAGTTACTTACTGACTAAGTATTTCTGTTATTGTCCACACATTTTTGTTGTTCAATTCCCTTGGAGGTTACGCATGTAAATGTCTATTTAAGACCTTCTCAAATGTCATCAACCTCAAACCCCTCTTTCTAGCACACATTTTTGCCCGCAACAATGTCAAAAGAAAAGAAGAAGAGCAACAAACAACTCACCTCACCCAACCACAACCCAAATCTATGGCCAGATCTACCCCAACAACTTCTCTATCAACTAGCAAGAAAACCCTCATTAATGCTAGAAATTTATTCCAAGGGAGCAACAAAGTCATGGAGAACAGAACCAAACAAGTGCAGTAAATCATCAAATGCAACCCTACCATGGCTTGAAGTCTCTACTGATAATGAAAATAGCCAAAACCAACCTCACACCTTCAATATATCGTTTAGAAGTGGATCCTATTCGTATCGGAGTCCACAGTATAGCCCCGTAATAGAAGGCTACCATTTTCTTGGATGTTCTTATGGTTTATTAATCTCTAAAGGAGATTCAGATTATAAATTATGGGATCCAATTGATAATGGATGGTGGCATCTTCCTTTATGGGATAATAGAATTCCATTTCTATGCACTGCTTTATCTTCTATGCCGATGATAGATAATAAAAAGAATAAAAGTACTTTGATTGTATTAACAGGTATTTCTAATCCAGCTTTTGCTTATTGTAGAATATGGGAAGGTGGAGATTGGATTAAAAAAGATAGCAATATTGTGGATCCGAATGATCATAAAGGTCATCTTTTAAAATTTAGCAATGGGATTTGGTTTAAAGAAAAATTTTATGCTTTGAGTTTGCAGGGAACTCTTGCAGTTATTGAAGAAATTGATTGTGATCTTAGAAGAATATGGGAAGGTGGAGATTGGATTAAAAAAGATAGCAATATTGTGGATCCGAATGATCATAAAGGTCATCTTTTAAAATTTAGCAATGGGATTTGGTTTAAAGAAAAATTTTATGCTTTGAGTTTGCAGGGAACTCTTGCAGTTATTGAAGAAATTGATTGTGATCTTAGAATTACTGCTGTTGGGAAGAAAAGAGCTGCTCCCTCTGTTTCGTGTATGCATTTTAAAGAATGCTTGGTTGAATCAGAAGGGAAGCTTTTGCTTATTTTTCTTATTTCTAAAAATTCTATCAAAACTGTGGATTTTGTGGAGGTTTACGAGCTTAATACTGATAAATTGGCTTGGATCAAGAAGGATAACATTGAGAATAAGACGTTGTTCGTAGGTGCTAATTGTTGTATGTTTACCTTTGGAAATAAAGTAGGATTCAAGGGAAATTGTATTTATTTTAGTAATAGTTATGGTGATGGTTGGTGGGTATATGAGATGGAAACAGGTTCTGTCTCTCGTTGTAGCATCTCCAATCCAGATAAGTCCCAAAATTTAGTTGAATAATTGAACAATTTCTATGCTAAAAATATCCTCCGCTTATCTAATTTGTGCTGTATTTCCAGACCATATTTTTGCCACCAACTATATGTTTGTTAAAATGCTTCAAAGAAGTATATGTGTTGTTGTTTATTAAAAACTTGAAAGTAGTGTAATATTCCTCTTATGTGTTTGACAAAAACTGTTTGATATATTGAATTTCTTGGTTGTTTTCCAGATTTTGCCAGATTTTGATATTGAATGCCAAAGATATTGATATAATTTTTGTAAATTTTCAGTTGCTTTTTCCTTGCTCTGCTGGCTAACAATCATTATGCATATTAGATGCCAACAACCTCTCTGTTTCAAGAAATGAGTTCATGGGCTCGAATTGCCTTGCCTTCTTCCTTTTTGGTATGAACTACATTTCTGGCATCCTGTTTGAGATGTTAAATTAGTAACCCAGCATGGACTTTTGGAGATTTTGAGGGTGCAAGTAAACATGTTGCCCGAGTGGTCAAATAAACTTTCTTTGTCATTATGGCCAATTTCAGAGGCTGTTAAGTTAATCTTATAATGTAAATGACAAATTATTTTATACTGTGATTTTGAATTAATAAAAGAAAAGTATTTTCATTGGTACTGGTAATGTGAAAAATAAATAATATTTTAATAATAATAATAATAATAATAATATAATTAGTTTAATATTAATAATATATTTAATATAAAATATGGTAATGTGGAAAAATAAAATAATATTTTAATAATAATAATAATAATAATAATTATAATTAGGTTTAATATTAATAATAATAATTTAATTATAAAATAATAAAAATTTAAAATATTAAATAAGAAAAAATATTAATAATATATTTAATATAAAATATAAAATTTAATAGAAAATATATAATTAATAAAAAGACCTAAACCCGTCTCACATCATGCAGCCTGAAACAAGAAATCAATAGTAGTCAAAAGCTGTGGCCATATCTTCCACAACTTATCAACCAAATAGAGAGACAATTAATTCAGCAAATATTCCCAAAAGGTATAACAGACTCATGGAGAGTAGACCCAAGCAAATTGAATTCCAATATTTCACCATAGCATGGCTTCAACTCTCCACTGAAGACAACAAAAGAGACAATAATAAAACATTCAATATCAGGTTCAAAAAGGGTTGTCCTTATGATATGCAAAGTAGTTTCAACTCCGTGTTACAGAACTCCATTAGAAAGAGTGTGAAAGAGAGGAAGAGATGAGACATGTGTGTGTGTGTATGTGTGTGTGTTGTTATATATATAATAATAATATATATAATATATATATAATATAATATAATAATGAAAAATATATATATAATGAAACATATAAGAAAAGAGGTTTGTATGTGTCACATCTCACCTTACTGTAAGACATGGCATGTCGCCCGTAATATACTTAATAAGCACTTAAGTCTTATAAAGGCTTACTAAGTATACTACAAGGGACTTAATACTGTTGATTCATTCATTTATATCTGGTAGAAAAGTAAAGTTAGTAATTAAATGTAAAACCCCTTTTGGCTCTTTCACCTGTTATAAATAAATGTCTTCTTCCGTAATTTACTCGACATATGAAACATAACGTTTATTAAGCTCAATATGATTTCTTAAACATATTATCAAAAACATAAAATGGTTCCATAAATCATAAGCCCATGGATGATTTAATCACATACTAGAGTCCTTTTCAAACATTAGATACATAATATACACATAACTAGGAGTCCTTTTTCGCAACACAACATTAGATACTCATAAATGAGAAAAATTCATACACTCATAAATTTTAGCATGTATCTGCTGCAAATATATAATAGGATGTTTTCTGTTAAATGCTTTAAAAGTACATTCATACATATTTCTCAAAAGATAAGTCTTAAATTTATACAATGAGCTACATAAGTAGCATACTATCGCTACATCAGAAAATAAAAAAATGATCCTCTCGACCCTAGTTCTATTTTCCTTTGCCCTTTTCCTTCCCCCTGGCGATAGCACAAAAAACAAACTTATGCGCTAAGCAATTTTTTGCTTAAGTGGTGTACTATTATAAAACAAAACACAAATTTTAAAAATCAAATCAAACCTTTCTTTATAGGAAATAATAATGATCAATAATTCATAAAAACCCACAAATGTGTTAAAGGGAAATAAGAAAAAAAAAAAGAAACAATAACCAATTTTAAAATCATAAAGTGAGTCTTTACCGAAAGCTTTTTTATTTTTTATATAAAGAGTCAATTTCGAGGGCTTATTCAGTGGGTTTTAATTTTGGTGCACTATTCCCTAAGACCTGTTATCTACAACCTCCAAATCTATGATATGGAAGGTCTTCAAACAAAGAAGGGAAAAAGCAATTCTTAACAACCTCCAAACTAATAGAGGGAGAATTTTGCTATTATATCAATCATTATATCCAATCCTAGTGAAATGATATCCATGTTTTCAACATCGATCCGTAAAATAAATCAAACTTCAGACAAATGAAGTGCAATATTCGGGGGTAAATAACCATGTTCTATTTATCAGTTTGTGAGACTTTTTAAAAGTCCATTTCATTTTCCATAGTTAATAAATATTAAAATCACTGTGGGCCCCCAACATTTTTCATTTCGCAAACAACTACTAAAATTATTCCATCAACGACCCAACCCTCATACTTACAGTTATTCATTGGTATCAATTGGCCAACATCCTTCTCTTTCAATGTATAAGAATTATAAAATTTATTTGCATGTGTCATTAGGTCGTATGATTTCAAAATAAGCTTTATTCTTTAAAAACGTATGAAATCATTAATACTTTTTATAATTATAATTCATAAAGTAAATCCATTGAAAATATTTTGCAAAATCAATCTCATTTTGTTTAAATAAAAGTAAGAAAGGCATAATACACTAACCTGAGCTAGAAGGCTCCCCTAGCCTTTTTCCTCTATCAACCACCCTCTCCTCAACTCCCTTTCTCTCAGAAGCTGTAGCCCCCTCAACATCCGCTTACTCTTAGAAGCTGTAGCATGAAGATTAGTCCTCACATTTAACCTTCATAACTACAAGCAATGTAACGCACCCATATATGCATTTTTCTTATTTAGGAATGCAAATTAAGCATTAGAATGTTATGTCCAATGATGGCTTTTTTTGTTTTTCCTTTCATTTTTACCACTATTGCTTGTGTTTCCCACCTGTCATATGACCTTAGTTTTAAGCATGAAGACACTTCCATAATACAAAAAACCACTTAACCAACACTTTAAACCACATCCTAGAAACAATATATAACAATTAAGGACAATAGAAGTTCAATGGCTTATGCTAAATTCATTAAATGGTTTATGTAAATGCAGAATTTCAAGGCATTTGGAGGTAGCTTGCAATTCCGTTTGGCTAAATGTATAATTTCCTCATATTTCATTTGCCCTGAAATTTTTTTTACAGCAATGTTTCCCCAAAACATCTTAGGGTACTGCCCTGTAAAATTTCATAATTTCTTTTAAAGCCTCATTTTTTGGCATTTTTCAAACATTGACATAAATTATAGAATCTAAATTTCCAGTTTTTCCTCAATGCTGAGCAAGCGCCTGCATTGATTTAAATTATACAACTCCCAATTTTGCCTTTTAATTATTTATATTTCCAATAGCCTTTTCCCTTTTAAAATACATGACACCCGCTACCCAACATCTCAGCTCTAATCTTCCATTATAAAATTTCAATGATTTTTGAAGTTCATACGCGACCTTTTGCTTTAGTCAAATAGGTTCAATTAAGCAGAAGCTGAATTTCAAGCAGCCCCAAATTGTTACAGTTCAACAATGAAATGTGGTTTTGCTTAGCATTCCTCACCTCACTTCCGAGCACCAAAAAGTAGGAAAAGGGCCAAATGAGTACAACTAACCTGAAGCTAGAAAGGCCTCCCCCTAGCCTTTTTTTGCCTCTAGCAACCCCTCCTCTCTTCAAACTTCCCCTTACCTCTTTAGAGCTGTAGCAATTGAAAGGGATTTTAAATTCCCTCCGTACATTAACGTTCATACTTACAAAACAATGTAAGCACACATGCAATTTCTATAGGAATGCAAATTAAGCATTAGAATGTTGTTTATCATGCCTTTTGTCTTTCTCACATTTTTTCACCTAATGCTTGTTCCCAACTGGGTCAATAATGACCCTTAGTTTAAGCATGAAACACTTCAATATCCAACACTTTAAACTTACATCCTAGAAACAATGATAAAATAACAATTAACGACAAGTAGAAGGTCAAATGGCCTGCTAAATTTCAATTTAATGTTTATGTCATGCGCAGAAATTTCAGGCATTATGAGTAGCCTTTGCATTCCGTTGGCCTATATTCTTAATTTTCCTTATTCATTTTGCCCCTGGAAAATTTTTTACAGCAATGTTTTCCCAAACATCTTAGGGTACTTGCCCAGCTGTATAATTTCTCCACAGCCTCATTTGCATTTTCAAATGACAAATAATTATAGAATTTGAATTTCCCAATTTTTTCCATCATGCCTTGAGCAGCACTGCATTGTATTTAATTTATAACGTCCATTTCCCCCTTTTATTTCCTCAAATGGCCTTTTTCCTTTTTAACCATGAACCCTACCCAACGATTCCTCAGCCCTATCTCCCATAAAATAAAAATTTTCAATGAATTTTTTGAAATTTTATGTTGCCTTAGTTCAAATTAGGTCAATTACAAATAGCTGAATTTTCAGGCAGCCACCAAACCTGTAAACAAGTTCCAAACATGCGATATGTTTTGCCTTTAAGCATTCCTCAACTCAACTTCCAGCCACCAGAAAAAGTAGGAAAGGTCCATAGTACATAACTAACCTGAGCTTACGAAAGGCCTTCCCCCAACCTTTTTCCTGCCAGCCAAACCACCCTCTCGCTCAACTGCCCTTAAATCTCTTTAGAGCTTATAGCAATGAGAATTAACCCTCAAACTTAACTTCATACTAACAACAATGTACAACCACAATGCACTTTCTTTATAGGAATGCAAATTAAGCGATTAGAATGTTGTGTCATGCTTTTTTTCTTTCATTTTCCAAACTATGCTTGTCCCAAGTGTCCATATGACCTTTAGTTTTAAGCAATGAACAACTTTCTAATTCCACACTTAAACCCACAATGCATAGAACAATGATAATAACAATTTAAGACAATAGAAATCAATGGGCATGGGCTAAATTCATTAAAATGTTTTATGTGATTGCTAGAATTTCAAGCATTTGAGTAGCTTGTCCCATTTCCCGTTTTGGCTATATAAATAATTTCCCCCTCAATTCTTTGGCCCTGAAATTTTTACAACAGCAATGTTTCCCAACATCTAGGGAGTACTGCCCTGTAAAATTTCATAATTTTTAAAGGCCGCTCATTTTTGCATTTTTTCCCTTAGGGTACTGCCCTGTAAAATTTCATAATTTTTAAAGCTCATTTGCATTTTCAAATGACATAATTATAGAATCTGAATTTCAGTTTTTCTCATGCAGAGCAGCCTGCATTGATTTCATTATAACTCCATTTCCTTTTATCCAATGCCCTTTCCCTTTTAACATGACCTACCCAAAATCTCAGCCTATCTCCATATAAAATTTCATGAATTTTGAAGTTCATTTGCTTAGTCAAATAGGTCAATTATAGAAGCTGAATTTCAGGCAGCCCAACTGTAACAAGTCCAACAATGATATGTTTGCTTAAACATTCTCAACTCACTTCCAGCACCAATTCATGCAATTCAACCTTCTATTACTTACATAACATCATAATATAAGATATATCAGAATCCCTAGGTCATGTCATATCAAGTACAAACTCAAAATCATCCATCTTGGTGAATTATGCAAATTAGACTTTGAATTAATACTCCAAAAATTGTTCCCCCCATCTTGGGTGAATTAAAATTGCAAATTAACGACTTTGAAATTTAGATGCATAACGTTAGTTTTCAAAATCATCCTTAAAAATCAACGGTTAAAAAATCAATTCTAAATTTCAACTTCACATCTTCCACCCATCAGAATGAACCAAGCAAGCACCCTCACTTCAAAAAATTTTGCCAATGGAATTCCAAAAAGTAAATTCCAATAGCCAAAGAAGGAGGAAGTGAAGGATAACTAACCCTTTTCCTTAAGAATTAACTTTGAAAAATTCCCTTTGATTTTCCACCTTCTTGTTTTGCTTGGGTTTTTTTTAATAAACTCTCCTCCCTCCTCTTTCTTGAATTCCCGGGACTTGGACTGAATAAAATTGGGGTGGGGAAAAAATGGCGTGTTTTATTCTATTCTTATCCACCTCCACCTCATTGTCTTCATAAAATTATATACAAACATTATTAAAAAAATTTCTTTCCCATGTCCATCTTTAAAAAAAAATGAAAATTATGTCCTTTAAATGAAAATTGCAATATAATCCTCCCTTTTGTTTTCCCTTCATCATTTGGCACTCTAATCTTTTTAATCACTTTACTTTAGTCCTAAAATGTATCAACCAAGTGTATTTAATATTCTAAACCTCACTTAAGAAAAGTCATACTCAAATTACCGTTTTTCGAGCTTTCCGGGTAAAATCGTGCTTTACTAAGAAGTCATTCCTCTTTACCTTATTTTTTATTTCCTTTAATCTTTCAAATTGATTTGTAATCACATTAATTACCATTTAATTAATATTCACATGCTCAATATATAGTGTTTCTCATTATTCTAGGTTTTCCTTTCATTCGGATAACCGAATTCATCGAAAAAGCTAGAATAGCAAGAACTATAAAGTTGAGGAAAAAAGCTAGAATAGCAAGAACTATAAAGTTGAGGATATTACAGTATGGACATCGTTGGAATTGTATGCACAAGTTTTTCTTCTTCACCTATTAAAAAAGGGAACAGAAAAAATAAATGTATGATAATGGTTTTGACAAGTATTACTCATCTTGCTTTCTCTTTTTAAAAAAATATTCGAACTTTTTCTTTTTCAATTATATGGTCAGAAATACGCTCAGTTCAATAAAAATCATTAATTTCATTAGTTTGATCTATAAGATTATGGACCCAATCTAAGTTAGTTTTTCTCTGATTTCAAAAAGTACTAAAGAATAACTAGTACCAAGCAAAAAAGCATTTACTAATAGCAATTGGTACATGCAAATTTAAAGGTGGGTCGACCATCTCTAAGTGTTCTAAATACTTGCATTACTGCTATATATTGATATGTCTTTTCATAGAACAAAAATTTCAAAATTTTGCTCAATAACTTCTAAAGTGAAAATCAAGTTTACCTAGTTGTATGGACGAATGAACAGTATATAGGAAGCAGAATGTAATTTTTTTTTTTTTTTGAATGTTTCTTTATTTCTTTGAATTTTCTAATATAAAAATTATTATATACTCGTTAATTCCATAAGCTGATGAGATATTTAGTTGCTCGTATACTAACAAGCAGTACTAATTTTGGTAATGGATAGACAATTTGAGTTATTTAATTGCTCATATATTAACAATCAATAATTTTATTATTTGATAGTTACTATTAGGGTTAGTTCATTATTTTTGATAGAAGGTGCATGCATGTATGTGATTTTGTGGTTTAGACTAAAACTCTTATATAATATAAAAATCACAAACTGTTATTTTGTGATTTTTCATCTTGCATCTTGCATCTTTATTACGTGTTCAAAATCGTAATAAAGTAAAATAAATGTATCCTTAGATTAACGCAGAGCATATGCTAGTCGATTAAGGAGTAATTTTTATTTATAATTTATTTATTTATTTATTTTAATTTAATATACTTAGATTGTGGGATTGTATAAATATATTTATATAAAATATATTCAAAACTATGTGAATGGTTAGAATTAATTATTTTATAAACTAATTGAATATACAAAATGATGCCATAATAAAATAATATATATGTTAACATTTTATTAAACTAATTGGAACTATTACAAATGGATGCCATAATAAAATAATATATATCGTTAACCAATTATTAAAAATTAAAATATATTAAAGATTTATTAAGTTAATAACAACTGTTATATTTCATTTTTAAAAGAAAAAATAATTTATTATTCATAGAGACGGGTTTCCATATGTCGGTTTAGTACGTGTGGTAGTGGTATTGAGGCTATAAAGAAATCAAATCATTACGAAATTTATAAACTAATTGAATATACAAAATGATGCCATAATAAAATAATATATATGTTAACAATCTATTAAAAATAAAATATATTAAGATTATTTTAATAATTACAACTGTATATTCATTAAAAGAAAAATAATTATTATTCATAGAGACGGGTTCATATGTTGGTTAGTACGTGTGGTAGTGGTTTGAGCTATAAAGAAATCAAATCATTTACGAACAGTTTGAGTCTGGATTTTGTAAAAGTTCAATTCAGTTCTCTCGGACTTCCTGCACTAGTTGGCAAATATCTTCCAAGCGATTACGATGCAACTCTTTCCAATCGGTGTCCTGTAGTGGTGAAATCTTGGATCATATAACTCAAGCTTTTTAACGTCGTTTCGCTGTTTTTCAACCATTTCCACCTGCCAATATAGGTCTGAAAAGATCCGCTGCATCATGAGAAATTCAATGGTTTTGCTTTTAATTTTTTTGGCCATCTTTTTTTATGGGAAACCAAACTAAAAGATGAAAGAATTTGAAGAACAGAGAGAGAATTTGATTAATGAGAATGTCCTCTCTTAGGGCAATAACAAGCATTTATAATATTTCAACTATTCTAAATAAGAGATAAAACGATAAATACCGAGCGAGAATCTCAGACATTAATTATATAATAAATCAGTCCTTTAACCGAGCGTTAAAGTAACACTCGGGTCGATTTTATAGAATTCTTCTATCACTATCAATTAGTATTAGAAAACAAAGTTTCATTGATCTAATTAACTAAGGACAATTTTGTAAATAAATGTTTAATATTATTTTTAACTGCTCTTACTCCCTCCTTTGTTTTTACATTCTTTCACTCTAATTTTTATAGTCAGTTTGTATTATGCACTTATCTTTTTATTTTCCTTCTCTTTATAGAATACAAGCTCTAAAAAAGCACCCTCTCCTTATCAAATTATGAAAAGCTAAAAGCATGAAAGAACCGTTTCAAAGAATAGTATTTTTTTTTTCCCTTTAAAATCCATACATATATATTTTTTAATTGGTTTCCAAAAGTACTCATTGTAATTCTCATCCTTCTCAATTGAGATTCTAATAAATCTTTTTTTTTTTTTTTTAAATCAAGGAAACATCTTTTGGCAATAGAAACACGTTTTGCATTTATTAAATTTGTGAAAATGGGCTTGAAATATTTCTAACTCCTTCTGTTTTCTAAATGTTTCGAAGTGTAAAAACTCTTTTGCTTTACTGTTTCTATGTATCACAGGTGTTGATCCCTGCAATGCTCTTAGATTTGAACGATAACTTCTAAGACCTTGAATTTTCTAATTGAATTTGGTTTGAAGTCAAGTTTTATGCTTTGAATTTGCAGTATTTGAAAAAATTGATTCTAATTTTAGAGTTATTGTTATGGGTGAGGGAATAATTATTCCCTCTATTTCACATGTACAATTTAAAGAATGTTTGGTTGAATCTAAACTATTATTTTTTTATGCAGAGATATTTGAAAATTTTGTTTATTTTTTTTAGAAGGGATAACGTTATTTTTAATGCCTGAACTTTTTTTTTTTTCTTTCTTTTTTTTACTTTGGTATCTGAATGGAAAATGGTAACAATTGAATGTCTAAATTTTTTTTTTTTTTCAATTTGGTGTCTCCTGATTAAGTAGACAGCCGGATTGTCTAATAGAATGAAATGAGGCCCACGTATACCTACATGTCTACTTATATGATTGACTTTTAATCCCTGTCAGCTATCCAACGTAGCAAATATGGTTAAATTACCGATTTAACCTCATTAATGCAGCTTAAACACTTACTTTATGAAATCCCTTACTAATTCAAGATCTAAAAATGAGAAACAATATTAAGAAATTAAACTGGAATTCAATGAAATGCATTCTAAAAAATGAACTTAAAATAATTTAGTAGAAAAAAGAACAAGATTTTGTCTTCTTAGCAATCAATAATCAAGGAAAAAAAGAAAAAAAAAAAAAGAAAAGGGAAACAGCTACAAGAAAATGTTAAGTTACGTTAGTAAAATTATGTGATGGTTTACCGTGCAATTTCCAACAACTTTCCCAAGTATGACCAAGCTTGTCACAATGAGTATAGTGTTTAGATTTGTTAGCTTTCCACTTGCGACTACTATTTTGTACCGCAAATAAAGATGCTTCAATAGTAGGTGGTGAAACTGGAGTCACAAAGATGCGAAAGAGACGAGCAAAGATATCCTCCAAGGTGGGAATGGCAGAACCTCTCAGAACTTGATCTCGAACTGAGCTAAGATCAAGCCGAAGACCTATGAGCGCCAAAACCATGAAGAATTCATTCCTCTGTTGTTCTTGTGTAGCAATACTTTTTGAAAAAGGCACAATGAAATTAAACTCATCAAGTAATGTCTCAACTTGTCCAAGATAACTAGCCATAATTAACAATATCAGAGACAACTTTGTATATTCATTGTATGTCATTGGTATATAGTATCTTGGCTTTGGTCTAGACCTTACAATAGGTTTAGCAAGATTGAAATAAGGGAAGTAGTTTGGGCTCAAGAGAATGCCACACCAAACTAAACAATTGTGCATCAATTTTAGACCATGTGGCCTTATCTTTTTCTAAAATATCAACAGCATTTTTACTTAAATGATCATCAAACCCTTGTCCCATAAACCATAATTCAATAGAAGAAGACCAAGAAACATAATTGCTACTGCCTAGAAGCTTCACAGTAGTAATAACAGGGGAATTAGAGAAGAGTGGTTTAAGTCATATTTCTGAGTCTGGAAGATAGTTTTGTCAAGTTTTGTACCTGACAGTGGATAAAAAGAGGGTTGTGAGTACCTTAGGCTTGAAAAGAGAAAGGGACAGTGAAGAGGGTGACCGAAAAAGGGATGGCCGGACTCAGGCGAACCGGTCAGAGGTGGCTGTTGAAGAAGAGATCACCGGAATTGGGCTCACGCGCCGGCGTGTGGGTCGGAGCCAGGAAGCTTGTGATGGCGGGCGGTCGACGGTGAAGTTCCCGGGGAAGAAATTTTTTGTCCTGGATCGCTAAAAGCTGAGGAGTTAATCTTCGGTGGCTGTGAGGTCCAACTCCCACACAAGATATTCCAATAATTACAAGATTCTAACACACTCTTTCTTCTACTATGAGTTATCCTTGTTTTTCCATGCTTTTTAAGATCAGAAGATCTCAATGCTTCCTTAAATATCTCACTTTCATCCACAGCACTAGAATCAAACACGTAGTCTTTTATTATAAGTGCAGAGACGGCTGAATCATGTGCTTTAAAAGAGACGCTTTTCATATGGAACAAGAATATTGATTAAAGTTGATTTCAATATGTTGTTGAAGACATTAGAAATTAAATCCCAGATCAAATTCCTACACGTTAACAACTAGAAATTGCAAAATCCCAAAATTACCATTTTATTAAAATACTGATATCCTTGAATCATCGAAAATTTACACCTTATAAAAATACATGCATGGACGTCAATAGAAATAAAATTACTTTTGACAAAACCTAAAATTTTGAGAGTTTTAGGTTACAGCTTATTTAGAAATTCAGTTTTGTAAAACAGCAACAGAAATTAAGCAAAATATTTTTATTTAAATGAAAATGTACTCATGATTATAACATCCAGAATAGCAGCAACTACAAACAGAACTTTCAGAAATAAGAAAATATAAGCAAAAAGTTAAAGTTATATCAAGAGGAATAAAAAAAAAACAACTTCCAACATCCAAAATATAACAGGACCAGAAGAAACTGAATTTGTCACTGAAAATCTCAGTCGAATAGTGAGATTAAATTTTAAGATAGATAAGTAAACATGCAGTACATAAGAAACAGCATATTGACATATCAAGGAACAATACACACACCAAAAGCAGGTTAACAGATCGTCTATTCGAATAATTTTCCAAAAAAAAAAAAAAAAACTTTGCGAATAGTGAGATTAAATTTTAAGATTAGCATAAGTAAACATGCAGTACATAATTAAACAGGCATAGTTGACATATCAAGGAAACAATTACACACACCAAAAAGCAGGTTAACAGACCTTCGTCTATTCGCAATTACATTTTCCAAAAAACAAAAAAAAGAAAAAAAATAAAAAAAATAAAACCTCTTGTTTACGGAGATCAAATGGAAACAGGATATCCTGATTCGCTAAAAAAGGAACAATAACTCAGATACTCGCCCAAAAAAAAAAAAAAAAAAACTTGTAGAGATCAAATGAAACAGGATATCTGATGTAAAAAGAAAATAACAGTGTTTCATAGTCAATATGATTTTGTAAAGAAAATAAAACTAAGGCGCTGTTTGTTTTTAGAAGATAAGTTACTAGAAAATATTTACCGTGTAAAAATATTTTTGAAGGAAATACATTATTTTCCAATGTTTGGCTGTTACATGAAAGATCACTTGGGACATATTTTCCGGTTTGATACAATATTAAAAAAAAACTTAATTTTCCACCATATAAATCTAATAAATATATGCATATTCATAAGAAAATAGAAACAACTAATTTAATCATAAAAAAATAACTGTTCATGTTTCATGTTTGTTTATAGATCTAAACCATCAAAATAGGTCAAACATAAGTATTCAAAGCCAGCCACTGATCACCACAATGGATAATTCATTTGTGACATTTGTTTGATAAGTTAAGACATTATCAAAAGTGCATATGCTTCCATGCATTTGCTTATTCAAATAGCAAACGCTTGCCAGGCATGAACATACCAAACCTCATCTCAAATGTGAGCTAATAATAGAATTGATTATCAGCCCCAACAAGAAAAGAAAGTGCACCAAGAAAATTAACTAAAATTTTAGTTATTAATTAATTTTAAAAAAAGAGAGAAAAAAAGAAAATATACGTTCCTCTTTGATTTTTTGTGAAATCAGGTCCAAACTTGAGGAATTCAATAGTCCCACCAAATATTGACCAACCCATTGTACCAGGAGGCAACACTTTCTTGGGTACATTATTTCATTCCATTTCAAAAACATAGTAAATAAAATACACAATCTCATACATAGCCCAACACCAAACACTGCCATTGATGCTCCCAAGAAAAGTAAATCAAATAACACAAAAATGTCACTATTACTTTTTTTCTTTCTTTTTTAAAGAGTTCTGTGCTTTACTGCTGCAAAATGATATGGCTTGCTCAGGTGTTTTGTCATAAGGATATAGACATGACAGAAAGGAAATGCTGAATATGTTGAAATTTTGGAAGAAAAAATGGAAATGCACAAGATGATTAACGATGTTTAGCACTTCATGTTTTTTACTTCTCTAAATTAACAAAAGAATATGTCTATTTATAGGCTTACAAGTGAATCAAAGAAGATCTAAAAATACTCCTAAAAATCTTCAATCCTAATAACAGCACTTTTCATGTTTTTACTTTTCTCTTAAAATTAACAAAAGAACTATGTCTATCTTTATTAGGCCTTACAAGTGAATCAAAGAAGATCTAAAAATACTCCTAAAAATACTTTCAATCCTAATACACAAAGAATATCCAAAATTCTATGGCAGAAATATCTGCACCTAAATTAAAATTGATAAAAAAAAAAAAAAAAAAAAAAATCCTTTTTTTCAGAAAAAAAACAATAAAAAAGATTTTTTCAATAATATTATTTGAATTACACTTCTAACATTCTCTCTCCTTAATTCAAAATATATTTTCTATTAACCACATAATTAACAACTTAAATTTTTAATCTCAGCATTTGAAGCACCTTCTCTTCAATTACTTGTGAACGCACCCTACTCCAAACTCCATCATTTTTGATCGCACTTCCTCACAAATATTGATGGCACTTCATCATCCAAACTTAAACCTAAGTCAATTCTTTTTTTTTTTTTTTTGAAGCACTTCTTTTCTTCAAACAAAAAAAAATTTTAATTTTTGAATGGCATTCTCATCACTTTCTTTGTGAAGGTGTTTGCGTAGCACATCTTCTCCAATGTTCTTCTTGGAGCACTTTCGTCTCCAATACTCAACAGAAGAGTTCCTTCCTCTTGCACAAAATTTGATTTATTTTTATACTTTAGCAATTCTTCTTTGAATAATGAAAGGCAGGTTTTTGCCTCTTGAAACTTTTTTGGCTTTTTCTTTCGCTATGATTTCTTAATTTGCAACCATAGTTGGATTGGATGGCAATGGAGGATTTTGGATGGCAATGGAGGGATTTCTTTAATCCATGTTGAGATTTTTAGGGAAGGAAATGGAAAAGTGTTTGTGGCCATTTAACAGACAGGCTCTGATACCAGGGTACCCAAGGAAGGCTCTAATACCATGTTGAAATTTTGGAAGAAAAAATGGAAATGCACAAGATGATTAACAATGTTTAGCACTTCATTTTGCACTTCATTGAATTAACAAAAGAATGTGCCTTACAAGTGACTCAAAGAAGATCTAAAAATACTCCTAAAAATCTTCAATCCTAATAACAAGAATATCAAATTCTATGAAGAATATCTGCACTAAATAAAATTGAAATCCTGCACTAAATAAAATTGAAAATCTTCAACAGGATTTTTCATAATATTAATTTTTGCAATTTAATCTAACAGATAATTGCATCCTAATAACAAGAATATCAAATTCTATGAAGAATATCTGCACTAAATAAAATTGAAATCTCAACAGATTTTTCATAATATTATTTTGAATTAATCCTAACAGAATATGCCAGACCATGCACCTACTTAGTGACATATTATTTTCGCATATATATGTATAGAGAAAGGCATGGAGTAATTTAAAGCAGGCAACAAATATTTCACTATATCTAATTCCACTTGAATAATATAGTACTTGTAATCTTTACTAAATAGAAGGTCTAAACTCATTGTTCGGTCTAAACTCGGTAAGTATTACTAAATACTTGGTAAACTTGGTGCCATGATGGAATGCGGAGCTAAAGGGTCCTGAAAAACAATAGAAGGTCTGCAATATCTCTCGGCTTATATCCAACTTTAATAACAATTAACAAAAATCCAACAAAATTAATACAAGAAATTACCAAAACATAACAATAATTCAATAATAACAAGTAGAGTTTTCAAATATCTAAAAAATCCATCAATTTCAAATTTTCATTTATTTGTTCCTAGAAATTATTGGAACCTAAAAAATAGCAGAAACCCTTACTTGTTTTAGCTAGATGACGTTGCCGGAGAAGACTAACAATACTGGTGGCCGTTGTGGACTTGGAGATGGGCAATAATGGTCGTTGTTTGAGCTAGATAACTTCACCGGAGAATACGAACAATACTGCTGGTGGCGGTCGTCGACTTGGAGATGGCAATAATGCTGGTGGCTTTCGTGATTGAGTATGAGATGCAAACTCGTTGAAGTCTCGTGGAGGTAGTGTAGTGGTCCGCAATTTTGGAGTTGTAAGATGTTTCACCGTCCAATGAATGAAAAGTTATTTTACCGTGTTTTCCACTTATAATTTTCTTTAATCCCAAAAAAATTGTAAATTATGAAAAGTATTTACACCAACTTATTTTCTGTAAACAAACAAGGCCTAAATTTAAAAATGGAAATTAAATGAATTTGACCTTAGGAAGTGGGAAGGGAGTCAAGGAGTAGAAAATAAGAGATTTTTTGACTGTCATTCATGGCAATGGTCTCTGTTTTGGCATAGCTTGTCATGTGACGTTATCAATTTTTTCAGCATTGAAAAAGATTAAGACTACTTTTAAATTTTGAATTCAACCAAACCTTTAAATAAATTATTTCCTTCTTTTTTAAAATTTATTGTTTTATTCTCTTCCTCCAAAAATTGAATCTTTTAATTCATTTAGTGCAAAACAATAATGGTAAATGATATTTCTCTTTCTTTTTTTTTTCTTTGGCGGCCACCGATCAGAATTAGAATTTACCTGTAATATTTGTGTCATTTGATACAGATCATAGTAATTTTGTTATGATATTTAATTATTTGGGCTAGGGATGACAATTTTACTCGATAAATTGGCATCCGATCTGATTTTGACGAGATTGGGTAGTATATAAATAGATTTGGAACGGGTCGAATTAATCATATCGAATTTGGATCAGTTCATATTCAAGGACTCGAGAATCCGCTACCCGACTTAAGGTATAAAAATTCCCCAAACTTTTTAACATGTAGCAAAATTACCCTAAAATGAACTTTGTTCCTTGACACCCTCATTTAAAACTTTGATTTACTAACACCCTAAATAGGATTAGGGTGAGGATTTGCAATAAAAAAAAATAATTTTGTGGGTCCTAACTAACCACTCGGGGTTATCTTAACCCAAGGATCCTACTATCCCTAAACACAGCGTTTTGAACATAAAATTACACCCAACATCTCATCTCTCTCAATCAAAGTGGACGTCTTCTCTATCAGCCTGCTGTCATATTCAAAGATTCCTAGCCAATTGAACCTATCTCCATTATCTTACTGAAACAATTAGTCGGGAATGACAAGTGATAGATTCAGAAAAAATCCATCCATAGCGCCCATATAGAAATCTACAAGACATGGACGAAAAAATGAGTGAAAAGAGAGGCCTTAGGCCTGAAACCACTCCGATGCTTAAATCAGTAAAAGAATAATAAATAGTTGTAATTGAATAAAATAATGTATTGTCTATTGCGTAGAGATTGTGTAGAGATTGCATACCTAAGTCGGAAGTTTGATCCTCTTTACACAGAGATAGAAAGACCTTGATTAGAATTGTAGTTGGAATCCTTATTGGATACGTATTCGTGAAAGAATAGGAATCCTAATCATATTCTGATTCTATCCAAAATATAATTAGCTCTTATATACAAATTACTATTAAGTCCCTGATAAATATTTATATTCTATTAATGAGGAAGAAGAATGATTGGTAAAGACTAATCACAATATTGTAAATTTTGAAGTAGCCAGTTGAAAATAACTTTTCTTGTTTCAATTTTTTATTTCCATGAACGAGACAGGGATTGCAAATCTAAATTTAAATGGCTTATTTTATTATATTTCCTCTTTTCTGTTTTTGTGGCATGCGTTGAAAGATAATTGGCTTATTTTATTATCAATTTATAAAATTAAGTTGTGAACATGGGAGAAAAGATTGTTTGTTTTTTTATAGGAAATAGTCGCTTAAATTTTATGGATGAATGATTAAAGTGTAATAAAATTTCATAATTTTAGAAATAAGATCTAAAGTTTTTTGGATGTCTATATATTATTCTCAGGGACAGAATGGTAATTTTAAAATAGTGAGGATCATTGTGGTAATTATGGTAAAATTCAGGTACGTTATACTAATTTATCAAAAAAACCAAGAAATTTCCTATAATTATTGTGCTGACCCAAGGTGAAAAATGGGTTTATTAAGTCATTTTACGTAAGTTGTTTGGATTTTTGACAAAAAAGTTGAGTTTTGTTCATTTTGAATACCAGCCCAAGTTTAAGGGGCAAATTGAGCATTTTTCCAAACCCATTAAGCATCCAAACTTACTGTCTCCAAAAGGTGAAAGACCAAAACCCAACAAACTTTGCATTTATACATAAATCCATCGTTGCCATTCATCAATAACAATGGGTTCTCCTATTCTCCTTCTTCTCGTAAAATCACTCATTTTCTTCAATATCATCTAGGTAAAACAAGAACCCTTCACAGGAAATTCCCTAAAATAGAGAATAATCGATCTTCTTTAACCATGTACTTATCTTATAAGCCTCACCCAATTGATTTTTATGAAGAAGTAGTGCAAGCAATATCAAATAAGCTTCATCTGATGAACCATGTAGAGATGATTTTTCTGTCTTTCCCATGCAATTACATCTAAAATTTAAAAAACTGGACAAAAGGGCTATGTTATTTAATGGCACTAAAATATAGGGTCAAAGTAGTCTATTTTAAAAAATAAAGGGATAGAGTAGTTAATTTTGACAAAATATATTGTCACAACTCATTACCTAGGGCCGGCCCGGCACTAGGACCTGGGTAGGCTTAATGCCACCAAAGCCTGTAGTAAGCCAATAATATACCAAACGAACTTCCTTTTCAATAAAATGGCCTCAGGCCCAATTTCATGAACTTTTAAATATCATAAATTAATATAAATAATAGTTCTCTAGGCCCGTATTAATATATTACATGATAGAAAATTTAATAAGTAATACATCAATAATTTCTAAATTTTATTAGACATGACTACAATAATTGCAGAACAATCTAAGAATTTAAAACTTTATTTCATTACACTAAACAAAACTAATTAAGGTTTCGTTTTTAACATTTCCTCTAGATGTCAGGTGGCAAAGAATCACGAGATATTGGAAAACTTGTAACCTGAAAAAAAAAAAAAAATTAAGGCAGGAATGAGCGCCTAAACTAAGTGAGTAGGTTAGTTAACCCTCTCACCCCCACACAATCACACAAATGCATAAATAAATTAATCTAGTCATCCGACTAGTTATATGATCATGCAGTTGACCCCACACAATCACACAAATGCATAAATAAATTAATCTAGTCATCCGACTAGTTATATGATCATGCAGTTGATCACACAAATGACATAACAACAACGATCACAAAAAAAAATAATAAAAAAAATAACACATTCACATAATCACATCACGTGGAAATTGGTCAATGGCGTCACCAAAACACCTGATGAGCTATCTTCACACATGGCCCGCCCTCTCATCACGTGTGCACCAGGGAGCCGATTTGCATACATGGCCGACCGGTCTCAACCTCACTTGACCAGCCCTTTCATTTTTTGTATGCTCTCTTTTCTTTTCCATATCAACAGGAGGTCACCCTGTGGTTTTCCACATCATATTTCATCAGATGCACACGGGGGTGCCGATCTCCCCATACATGGCCGATGGTATCATACATCGCCCTCACAAACACAACGGTGACCCACTTCATTTCAATTCCACACAAGCAAAGCATACATAAAGCACATAACAACTAATCAAACCATTTCCAATAGCAACAAATAATGCAACATAAAATAACAATTTAATAAGTAATGCAAGTTTAGCATTTAGCCGTATATGCATGGGTGCAAATGCAGGTGGATGATACGAATTATCTAACACTACTCACAGTTTCTTATTGTCTTTTAACATGACTCTCTTTATTACTACCCCTTCCAGCTTTTGTCTTGACGTTTTGGAACTTTATAAACATCGAGAAGGACAATAAGAAATGCGTAAATATTTTAACAGGACAACATAAAACGCGTAAATATTTTTTAGAATAAAATGTTTCATAATTATAATAGCTTAAAAACTCATCAAGTACAATTGTATTTTAAAATTTTATGGATGAATGATTAAAGTGTAATAAATTTTCATAATATTAGAAATAAAATCTAAAGTTTTTTGTATGTTTATATATTATTCTCAGGGACAAAATGGTAATTTTAAAATAGGGAGGATCATTTTGGTAATTATGGTAAAATTCAGGTATGTTATACTATTTATCAAAAACAAAAAAAAAAAAAAGAAAAGAAAGTTACCTTCATTCCAGCAGATATTGCACCAGGTATTACTTTAGTTCCAAAGTCTTTTTTATCAGGAAAATAGTTGTTTAAAAGCTTTGTCATAATCTCTCTATTAACAAGATAAAATCTCCATGCTCGAAAACTTGCTATAATTGGAAAATTTTAACTTTCTTGAGCTTTTTACTTGCAATTAGAAGATAAAATATTCTTATGATATAAGTTTTGATTTTAAGAACAATATTTAGGAAACTATGTAAAAAATTCTTACTGAGATAACTGTTCTTGGCTCTTTTTCTGAATTGAAACTAAACTTTGGAACTTCATTTGATGAATTTACTGTCAAAAGGCCAAAACCTGAGTCTAGTTTTCTCGTATAACCTAAAGCTGCAACTGTTATATCAGCCTGACTACTCCTGTGAGCTTCTATCAGTTTCTTGTAGTCCATTTTGTACAAATAGTGACCATGAAGAATCAAAAACTTTGATACCAGAAATTCTTTCATCACCCACAAGCATCTTCTCATAGCATCAGCAGTTCCCTGACAGAAGAGGAAAAAGAAAGAAAGAAAAAGTTCATGTAAAGCATCAACTAGTAGAGCTGTAGATTATATTACATTCATTCATATCAAACTTTAAAGGAAAAGAGAAATGTTAGCAATTTAACTTTAGATTACATTATGAGACAAATACCTTATTTGTGGGCAAGTATCTGTTCAAAATTGCTTTTTTTAGATGCTTTTGCAATATTTAAAACTTAACAATCTATGGTTTGAGAAAATCTAGCAGGCATTTTTAGAACTGAAACCAGCCTTGGTCTTCCGGACTCTAATAAGCTGCAATAATTTGGAGGAAACCTTCTTTTCCAAGGCCTAATCCATTATAAGCTCTTGAGAGGTGAGATTTAAGGGAAGTAGAGTTGAATTGTGTAATGGCATAAAT